GCCGGGGGGCGGGAAGCTGAAGCAGCGCTCGCCTTTCCACGAGATCGAGAAAGCGTCAATTGCTGTGGCACTTGGGTGCGGTATCTTGGAGCAGAATCTTTGCAGCTTCTTGTTGCTGATGTTTGCGAAAAGGTCGATCGTGTGGGGACCCCATCGACGTTCCAGCAAAAGAAACCATAGTATGTGCAGCGCGTAGTCGTCATGGTCTTGGATTTTAGACAGTTCGTCCGCGTGGGCATTTAGCTCCCTCGGGATCCATTCGATCGCCAGGCGTGTATGGTTCTTGAGGCAGAACTGTATGACTGCTTGACATGTCAGTGTCAGCCGAGGTTGGCTGGACCCCTCTTTCCGCAAGATAAAAACGACGCCTTGGTTGTCCACGCGAACCAAAACGTGGCCGCTGGTGATGTGGGACGCAAATGTCTGTAGCGCCCATAGGACTCCCTCAAGCTCCCTTTGAGTGCTTGAGGTTGGGAGGAGCTCGCTCGGCATGCTGGCACTTGCTTCATACGATGTGTCGGTAAACTTTGTAAGGGTGGCGCCCCAGCTGTGCGCGCTCGCGTCGACGTGGATCACAGCATCGAATTGATGGCTTAGGTGAAATGGGGCAGCGTTAAATTGGTCGAAGTGCAGCCGCCAGAAGATTAGCTCCTCGATGGCGGCCAGTGGCAGCCAGATCCTTGAGTGCCAAGATGCCGCTGCATCAATCAATTGTAGCAGCTCGTGGCTGAAGGCGCGTGCCGTCGTGCCCAATGCGAGGGACATGGAGCTCAACATTCCGATAATACGAGCGACTTGCCGAATTGGGACTTGTTGGCCACGTTGCCCATTAGAGATGAGTGTGTTGAGCGTGTCTAGAAAGTGCGCCTTCTGATCGGATCCGATGCTAAACATGCCGCGAGTCGTGTCAAGCTCTATCCCCAAAAACCGTGTTTGCTGGGCCGGCTGGAGGCGCGATTTCTTCTCGTTGATCACAAAACCTGCGGCCCCCAGGTCGCGTAAGACCTCTGTGCATGTCTTGCGTGCTTGCTCCGCGGAGTCACAGAGGAATAGCAAGTCGTCGACGTATGGGACTACGCGCACGCCACACGCACGCCAACGCTTGGCCAATTGCTTGATCAACTGGGTGAAGACGAAAGGTGCTGTTGCCAGTCCAAACGGCAAAGCTCGGAAGCAGTACAACTCGCCTTCGAATTGGAAGCCTAGGAACTTCCAGCACGATGGGTGCATCTCAACGTGGTGGTAGCCCGATTTTAGGTCAATGGTGAACAGCCAGTCGTTGCATCGAATGATCTCCGAGACCCGATTCAGACCCTCGTATTTGAATTTGGGGACTTGGAGGTGTTGATTGACCTTGCGTAGGTCGAGGATGAGGCGACATTTGTCGCGTTGTTCCACCACATTGAGTGGGCTTACGCACGAGAGCGCAGTCCGCGAGGGGACCGTTGTTGCCGCGCCCGATGTGATTAGGTCGCGAATGGCCTCACGAGTGAACGCGGTGTGTGCGTGAACACCCGCGTGGTTTGTGGTTTCGAAGGGTGGCGGTGCTGTAGTTTTCCAAGGCAGCCAATATCCTCTGGCAATAATTGAGATAATAAAACTGCTGTCGCACCACGATATCCACCAGTGCAGTTGGTTGCGCAATCGGTTGCGCATGACCTTCACCGTGTCGTCTGTGACCGCATTTTCGTAGGGGTCCCATTCCGCCTCTCGCCACTTGCCGTCAGCCACTGCACGTGGGGTCAACCGGGGTATGGTGTATTGGGTGATTAGCCTTTGGTCATAGGACCAGCTCGGGGGCTTATACATGCTCGATGTTACGTCTTCCGTATCTCCTTGTTCCGTCTCTCTCTCTCTCTCTCTCTCTCTCTCTCTCTCTCTCTCTCTCTCTCTCTCTCTCTCTCTCTCTCTCTCTCTCTCTCTCTCTCTCTCTCTCTCTCTCTCTCTCTCTCCTCTCTCGCTCTCTCACACTCTCTTTCTCTCTCCCCCTCTCTTTCTCTTTCTTTCTCCTCTTCCGCTTTCTCCCGTTTGCTCTTCTTCTCAATTTCTGCCCCTTAGTCTCACGTTTTATTTATTATTATCATTATTATTATTTTTTCAGTTTCTTCCTCTCTCCTCCTTACTCTTCACTTCTAGGCAGGGGGCTGCTCGGGCTGCCAAGTGGCTGCCTTGGTTCCACTTTCCTTTTCTCTCACCCTTTTTTTTTTTATTTGAAGTTAAAACAAGAGAACTTTATTTCCACACATGGGTACATAGCATGTACTACCCCCATAGACGCCCTTACGGCTAGGGATTTCTAAGGCATCCAGCCCATACACCATGCTAACTAGGAGTCCCGCACCCTCGGTGCTCCCACCTACGCCCCCCGGCATAGTGGCAAGGGGCGCCGCCCCGTGTGCCTCCTCACACGACGGGTGAGGGGCCTTGAGCGCCTCGCCCTCCCATAGGTCAAGCATTTGCCATATGGCCGGGCTAGCCGCAGCGGAAGCACACCCCCTTGAAGCGGGGTTCGTGGCAGCTTGCGGGTGGCATCCCCTTGCCTTCCGTCTCGCCGTCTCGGGTAGGCATGCGATTACCACGAGTGTAGCCGGCGCGCGCACGCTTGAGAGCCGCCACATCCGCAATTGCGAGCTTGTAGGAGCGTGAGGTTAGCACGCTCTTGGACTGGTATAGCTGAAAGCGATCGGCAGCCTCGAACCCCGCCTCGTCCGCCTCTGAGCGTTTCGATTTCCGCGACGTTGGCAAGGGCGCTTTCGATGTCGCCGTGCTGGAGCTTGAAATTGACGTGCTTCAGGTGTGCCTGGATAGCAGAGAAAACCTCCGCCTGATCGCGCACGCCTTTGCGCATGAAGGTGGTGGGTGCGGGTGTGGGATTGAGGGGTGGAAGAGAAGGTGCGGGTGCAATAATACGACGACGGGTAATGTTGTTGGGGGCCTCACCATCGTCGTTCTCTGAGTCGTCGCTGTCGTCTTGAGTGGTGATCGGTGCCGGTACGTTAGCGGGGAGGGGTGCGGCAGTGGTCTCGTTAACGCGAGCAGCCTTGTTTGCGCGAGGAGCGGTGACTTCTTTCTGATTTTCGATTTTTGCAGGTGCTGAAATATAGTCGGAAGAAGTTGCGATTGTAACCGGAGCGTGCTGCTGTAACATCGACAGTAGTGCCTGCATCTGCTGCGCAGTGAGGGACGCGAGGGGGTTGACTGGGGCGGCTTCTGCTGGGGTCGCGGCCTTATGGCGCTTCTGCAGGGTGGGCCCCGGCTGACCAGCGTCGCCGTCCGCGTCAGCCGGCGTTGACTTGACCGGCACGCGCGGCTGCCTGGGAGCCACACGCTCCTCAGCAGCAGGCACGCGCGACTGTTTCACAGTCGCGCGTGCTTCTTCGGAGGGGGCTCGGGAGTTGCTCCCGAGCAGCACTTCGACTCCTGAAGTGCCCTCGCCGAAATTGTCTTCGGCAGGGCGTTTTCCGCGGCGGTCGGGTGCCCCGGGCGCGTTCGCGTGCTCCGAAGCGTTACCCGGGGTAGTTGTCTTTTCCGCCTCACGATTAAGTGTAGTGTTGGCGGGCGCCATATTCGCCAGGTTGTGTTGGAGAATGTCGGTAAGCAATGTCGACGGGGACTTGAACCGCGGGAGAGACTGCGTCTTCGCCAGGATGAACGAGAGGTGGGAAAGTAAGACTAGAAAATTGGAAATGAAGAACGTGGGTGGAGCTACTGAGCTCACGTTCCTCTTTTGTAGGCAAAAGAGGGGTGAGTAGCGTCGAACCGCTACCTTTGCTTTGCTGGCCACGTCCTCGCTTTCACAATACGAAATTTTAAAAAGTGTTACACTTTTAAAAATTATAATGATTACAAAAGATTCCATCTGATTTGCTGACCTGGACTTGTGAAGCTGACAGGACTAACAATTGATTTGATTATTCTGAGGTGTACAGGCTGGAGAGGCTAGAAAGGTGAAATATTGGAAGGTTCTATAACCAAAAGTAAGATTCACGGGCCCCCCATCATGTTTGAGACTGGACCATCTTACATTACAGATGGTTAACACAGTACGCAAATGCCTACGCAACGTCTCAACATAACCCACCCACCATCATAACATACCAGACCACAATTTCCCTCTCCCTGTACCCTCCTCTCCCTCCCTCCCTCTCGCTTCCCTCCCTAGCACTGCTCGACTTGCCGCGTTACGCTGCTAACTTCACCTTACCGCGTTAGCACTGCCCCCCCTTCCCCCTCTCCCCCTTCTCCTCGCTCTCCTCCCTTCCATCATCTACCTTTCCATATCCCTATCTCCTCTTTCCCTCTCTTCCCTCTCCCTCTCCCTCTCCTTCTCCTTTTCCCTCACCTTCACTTCCTCTTCCCATTCCGCATCCCACCCCACCTCCCTCTCTTCCGCTCGCTTCAGAATCGCCCGGGTGTTTGCATCCTCAACCACCCCATACCGTCTCATCTGCACTCGGTATAAGCGTGCTGCTGCCACCTGCCTGTTGTGCAGCAGCGCGTCTAGTAACGCATTAAAGAGGTGTGCATTAAGGGGGACGCCGGAAGATCGCGCATCCTGCTTCAGTAGGAGGAACCGGGCAGAACAAGGGAAAAATGGCATAAACAATACTTTTCTCCATTGCAGGACTGGCAAGAGCCAGTTCCTTAAAGCCATGCGTCTGCAGCCAATGCTGTTTGAAAGGAAAAATCACTACGGCATATGTTTTCCCCAGCCTCCACCCCTCTCACCTCAAAGATCTTAACTGCCCCCTGCCAGTCCTTAGTCTTCCCAAGAATGCGAATAAGTGATGCCAGAGTAAAAGTGTTGGGCTTGCATCCTGCCTTGAGCATGCGTTGATACACCGTCAGGGCCGCTTCAGATTGGCCTGGCACGGGGAGGAGAAGAGGGAACCAGGGTGGATGAGGCAGCAAAAGGGAGCATTAAATTGGGCTGGGTTGGAGTGATGCCAGGGTGAAGGTGTTGGGCTTGCACCCTGCCTTGAGCATCCGTTGATACACCGTCAGGGCTGCCTCGGATTGGCCTGGAGAGGGGAGGATACGTGGAAACCCAGGTGGAGGAAGCAGCAGAAGAGAGCACGGGGTTGGGTGATGCAAGAGTGAAGGTATTGGGCTTGCAACCTGCACTGAGCATCCTTTGATAGGCAGCATCCGTCAGGGCAGCATCTGACAGGCCTGGAGAGACAGAGGATGACCATGCTGTAGCTCCACACATCCGCCTGCACGCCCATTCTCTCCATCCGCCACAGCAGCTGTAGCGCTCTCTGCCACTTGGCCTTGTGCTGACACGCCAGCAGCGCACAGCCATGTGAGAGAGCACTCAACCACCCACCTGCGAGTTCACAAGTCCGAATGACCATGCTGTAGCTCCTCACGTCTGCTTGTACGCCCATCCTCTCCATGCGCCACAGCAATTGCAGCGCCCTCTGCCACTTGGCCTTGTGCTGACACGCCAGCAGCGCGCAATTACACACCACCAGTGTTGGTTGCAGCCCCTCCCTCTCCCCCATGTGCTCGAATAGAGCCATGGCTCGGTCGAATTCGCCTGCCCGAGCCAGCGCCGAAGCTAGCCCGGACCACGTGAAGTGGTCTGGGCGAATCCCGAGGGTTTTCATTCGGGAGAAGACTGAAAGAGCCAACTGCCACTGACCTGAGGGAAGAGGGGAGGGGAAAGAAGGAGGGGAGGGGCGGAGAGGAGGGCATTGGGAAGACATGGGGAGGAGATGGGAGATCAGGGAGTGGTAAGGACGAGAGAGTGGAAGATAGGGGAGAGAGAGAGAGGGACAGTGAGGGAGTTGCGGCAGCATACCTGCGCGGGCGAGCGAGGAAATAAGGGCATTGAAGGGCAAAGCGGAGTTGGGCGCACCAAGCACCTCGCCCCACGCACTCCCCTCCTCCCACCGCTCCCCACTCCCAGCATCGGACGATCTGGGTCTGCCCCCGCCAGCAGCAGCAGCAGCCGCCGCAGCAGCAGGCCCCTCGTCCTGCCTAGCCTCAAAAGGACCATTCAAAACAGGAGGGCAACCCTCCATACGCGAGTCAGCAGATGCGGTAGCTTGTGAACCATCCGCAGCTGCACCCGCTGCCAATTCACCCGTGACCCCCGGGTCTGTCCACGTGGCAAGGAGATCGTCTAGCAGGTCGAGAGCGAGAGGCCAGCGACCCACCTGGTAGTGAGGGGTAAGGCGAGGGGTAAGGGGAGCAAGGGCAGGTGAGGAAGGGCTGTTGGAAGGTAGTGAGCCCACATCGATCGGACACGTCAAGGAGATCGTCCAAGAGGTCGAGAGCGAGAGGCCAATGTGGAAGAGGGGGAGGGCGAGGAGAGGTACTGGTGGTGAGCCAACAGGGATCGAATGTGGCAAGGAAATCGTCTAGCTGGTCGAGAGTGAGAGGCCAGCAACCCACCTGATAGTAGAATCACGGGGAGGATGGAATGGGACGGGGGGAGGGGCGGTTGGTGCAGAAGAAGCAAAAGGGAAAATCAGGATGCCACAGAGAAAGGAATTTACTCACCTTGGAAGCAACACAAATCAGCCCCCTGTGCATGTCTGGGGTGACGGGCTGGCTGGCAGCCTGGCATCGAAGAGTAGCTGCAGCGCCAAGTTGCAGTGGTTGGCTCTTGACACAGCAATGAAGCCAATAAACGCACACACAGCAGAACCAAGCCACCAACTCACTCACCTTGGAAGCGACACAGATCAACCCTCTGCACATGTCGGGGGTGACAGGCTGGCCTGCCAGCAGCGCGTCAAAGAAGCGCTGCAGCGCCAGGCAGGGCGCAACGGTTGGCTCTCACAGCTCATCCCCTTGACACACACCAACAAAGCCACACAGGGCAGAATTTACCCACCTTTGAAGCGACACAGATCAACCCTCTGTGCATGTCGGGTGTGACAGGCTGGCCTGCCAGCCTGGCGTCAAAGAACAGCTGCAGCGCCAGGTCGCAGCGGTCGGCGCGGACGAACGTGCTCATGAGCAGTGCGCGCGTGCCGGTGGACGGGCGACATTCGTCGTCCTGCATGGCCTGGTACACCCCCAGCACCTCCTGCACGCGACCAGCCCTGGAGAGGACGAGTGGGGATGGGGGTGTGGGGGAGGGAGAGACAGTTTGAGGGAGTCTGAGATGGACAAAAGGGCGGCATTCGTCGTCCTGCATGGCCTGGTACACCCCCAGCACCTCCTGCACGCGACCAGCTCTGGGTGACACGGATGAGCATGGGATGCGGGTGGGGGTGTGAGAGTAGGGAAGAGATACATCATCAGGGAAGAGTCAATCAAACGACATCCAAACGCCCAGCGAGCACGGCACGGCACTATACGCCATCATATCCGGCTTCAACCTTATCACCCGACACATATTTTCACCATTTCTGAGTCGATTCAAGAGTCAACTTCCACTCGCAGTGAGCACGGCACGGCATTATACACCATATGTTTTTTGAGAATTCTCAAAAAAGTATACACCATCATATCCGGCTTCGACCTTATTATCCAACACGTACTTTCACCACGCTCACTTCCCCCACACTCACCTTCCACATGCAGTAAGCACAGCATTATACGCCATCGTATCTGGTTTTAACCCCATGCCCCACATCTCGTTTAACACACACCTTCTCCATGTTCACTTGACCTTCCATACACTCACCTCCAATACACTCACCTTCCACATGCCGTAAGAACCGCGTTATAAGCCATCGTATCCGGTTTCAGACCCATGCCCCGCATTTCCTCCAATAGCAGCAGCGCCGCCCGCCACCTGCCGGCGCGTGATTGGGCCTGCATGGCCGCGGTGCACGCGTGCACGGTGGGAGCCAATCCCGCGGCGCGCATGCCTGCCAGCACAGGCGCCGCGTCAACGTACGGGCCGCTGCGCGCCAACGCGGCGATTAGCGCGGTGTGTGCTGACGTGGACAGGAGGAACGCCCGGGCCTGGATGAGGGGAGGATCGGGAGAAGAGGGTTTGGCAGGGGTGTAGAGGGGTTCAGGAAGCTGTAAGCGAGGAAGAGAAAACGGGGTTTATATCAATAACTTCAACCCTGCAACCCGAAGCCAAAAACCTCGACTAGAACCCGAAACCCCAACTATATAAAATAAAGCATTACCTTCAGCCAGTCAAAAAGCTTCAGAGCGTGCCGGCTCTTGCCCGCGCGGCTTAACTCTACCAACACTGCCGACGCCACCCCTTCCGTTAAAACCCCATTCGGTCCCACTTCCGTTTCAAGCACTCGCGACAGGTCAAGGCTTTCGATAGTCTCTACCGGCTCGCGCGCCACTCGCGCCGCGAGTTCTGACACCACACTCGACGTCGCTACACCCGAGCCGCTTTCCGAAACCACCGAATCTTCTCCTGACTCATCTTCCGCTGATGAAGTTGGCGCCTCGATATTGCCGGTCGTTGAGGATCCGGGAGAAGGAGGAGGAGGAGATGAAGGGGAGTTACCAGGCGGCGCATCTCCGTTGTTGGATTCGGCCGGCGGACGGAGGAGGATCGACGACGACCAGACCTCCGTGATATCCGCGAGCTCGTCGGACAGGTAAAACGTGCCGTTAGCCGTTCGCTTCCGCAGCCGGCGGAGACGGTGCGTCGCGGCGGGTTTCCGCGGAATCGGCGGAGAGGGAATGCGGGAAGAAAAAGGAAGCTTGCTTGGAAAATCTGTTCCCGGGGGAAGCGGAACGCCAGCTTGCGGCTGGAAGGATCCATCTCCTTCCCGTGAAAGGGTTCCAGCAGCTGATGTGCTACTATCGAGCGAGGAGGGATCCTGAGAGTCGCCTAAACGAGCGGAATCTGTTGGTAGCTGAGGCTTCGGTCGTGGAGGGACCGGACGCGCTGGACGCTTACCTAAGTTACACTTAGGTGAGAGATTGACGCGAGATGGTGGTAACGACGGGAGAGGAGAACGTATGAGCTGACTTGGACTCGTGGAAGGGCGAGACGACGGCGAGGCGCGTGAAAGCGTAACCAGGCGAACGTCGCCGAGAAACGGTGTCGCCAAGTCCATTCTTTACTCTCAACGGGTGACGCGTCTGGGAATGCGATACTCTAGCCACGACAGTAAAAGGCTTCAAGAATACGAGCGCGAAGACGAATCGCTCTAAGACAAGATCCGTCAATCGACCTAGCTTAGAGAGGAACTAAACCAGGAGGAACTCGTAGCCGAAAACATAAACATCATGATCTACCCTTAGCAGGAGGAACTAAGTCCAGGTTTGAGTGCTAGAACAATGAACAAAGCAACCATGAGGTTTTTCTCCTGTCTGCATCTAGCTTTTCCACTCAACTACAGAATCAGGGCTCGTTGTGGATGTCACCTGATTTTCGTCACACCGAGTTTAACCGACGGTTTTCAATCTGTACCGCACTTAGAAGCACTCAAACCTTCCTGACTCATTTGTAATGGGCTCCTTGGGAATGTCCCATTGTTGCTGACGTGGTCAACATCTGGTACGGCTGGAGGGAACTTTGGCTTTTCCGTTTGAGACTTGCGTGGTACGGATCGATTCTACACCAGCTTGCAGTCGCTTTAACAGCTAATTACAACTCATCTCATTATAATATACATATACATTGCCATATATATGATATACCGTCTTAAATAATACATTTTCTAAATAGGACCTCTACTGTCCACCTGACGGAGCGTCTCCATGCATCTCATTTGCCTTCAATAAAAAAAACTTATCTCCATCCCTGATTAGCTCAACGGCTGTTACAACCCCCGAATCGCTCCCAACCAAGCCAACAAATGACGTTCCAAAAATGCTTGAAGCAGTTGATATGAGGTCAGGGATGGACGGAGGAAGTGGCATGAGCTGCCCAACTCTCTGCGGCTTCAGTTCCCATGGGGGAAAGGGGAACACAGTGATTCTCTGACAAGTGGAATGGGGCGGAGGCAAGGATGCAAGGGAATGAAGGGGAGAAAGGAGAAGATAAGATGTTTCAACTCTCAAAAGGCAGTTGTGTACATGGGATGTGGTGTCTGTATGTTGGACATATCAAGTATCTACGGTAAGAGACTCAGCATTCTTTATGATGGCGATCGCAAACGAGGCAACAAATAGGTCATCAAAAGACCAAACAACCAGACGCATTCTCACCTTGGGACCCAGGGGAACCAATCTTCCCATGCCGGCCGCACCAGTCGAACCAGCAGCACCAGCGCCACCACCATACCCCATCCCTCCAGCCCTCCCCCCTGTCCTCCTCACCCCACCAACCCCAGCAGGGGGCCTCCATTGCCCCCTCCCAGGCGACGTTCCCGGACCTCTCCTCTGGGGCGTGCCGGGCCCGCTCAGAAGCGGTGTTGCCGAGCCTGACATGGCGATCCGGGGAGTTGCCGAGCCATCCTCGGTGATTCGGTCCCAGTCCGCTTCAGTAGGGTTGAGAAGGGGGGACGGTTGGGAGTGCGTGAGGGAGTGGGAGTTGGGGATGGGAGGACGGGTGGAGGCAACCTGAGCTGTCCCGGAGTGTGAATGAGGGAAGGGGGTGGGAGACGGGTTGGATGCATAGGGGCTGCCTGAAGCTGCCACACCAGTGACAGAGGCAGAAGCAGGAGAAGGAGCAGCAGCGGCAGCAGTGGTGGTGTCAGCAGTGATAGTGGAGGCACCAGAAGCAGTAGTTGCGGGAGCAGCAGCAGCAGGGGGTACGGCAGGAGCGGTTGGTGTTGCAGTGGGTGTTGCTGGCATAGGGGATGCTCCAGCAGCAGCAGTGGCGCTGAGTGAAGCAGCAGCCACGGCTGTAGCAGCCATTGCAGCAGCAGTAACAGCAGTTGCTGCTGCTGCTTTCCCTGCCTCTGCTCCTGCCTCTGCTCCTGCCTCTGCTCCTGCCCCTGCTCCTGCTCCTTCCTCTCCGCCTTCCCTCTCAGCAGCATCCTCAATCGATCCCCCACCAATCACAAGCCCCCGTTCCCGCATGGCCTCCTCCAACAGGTGGATCAACGGCAGGCTGCCACATCGGCGCGCCTCATCCAGGGGCGAGTTGCCCCACCTATCCAGTGCTGCCACGTCAGCGCCGTGCTCCACCAGCAGGCGCGCCACCTGGACGAATCCCTCGGCGGATGCGATGTGGAGGGGCGTGCGGAGATCGTAATCGGCAGCATTGGGGTTGACTCCGTTGACCAGAAGTCTTCTCAGCAGCCCTGTGTCACCCCTCATCACTGCGTTACACAGGTCTGTTCCTGCTTCCTGTGAGAAACGAGTTGGCGTGGGTGGGAGTAGGGTAGGGAGAAAGTAGGATGGGAAGGAAAAGGGGAGGGGCATGGGAATGGGGGAAAATGTAAGAGGGAGAGGAGGGACTATGGATGGGGAGCAGGGGTGATGCGATGTGGAGGGGCGTGCGGAGGTCGTAGTGGGCTGCATTGGGGTTGACTCCGTTGACCAGCAGCCTTCTCAGCAGCCCTGTATCGCCCCACATGACAGCGTTACACAGGTCTGTGCCTGCTTCCTGTGAGACAGAGGTTCATGTGCGTGGAGTGGGGTAGGAGGAAGAGGGATGGGAAGGGAACGGGAAGGGGAGAGGGGCACGGGATGGTGGGGAAAGTTGGGAGGGAGGGAAGATGAGCACAGAGAGAGATCAGGGGTGATGCGATGTGGAGGGGTGTGCGGAGGTCGTAGTCGGCAGCATTGGGGTTGACTCCGTTGACCAGCAGTCGCCTCAGCAGCCCCGTGTCACCCCTCATCACCGCATTGCACAGATCCGTTCCGGCTTCCTCTGGGAAACAGAAACTGAGAACATTTTGAGTGGTGTCGGAATGTTAAGAGTGGGCGGGTGTGGGAGCGATTAGGTTGCAGGGGTGTGACAGCTGTCAGTAACCGGTTCTGGAATACATACAACCCACCCCATGCCATCACACACCACACCACCACCATACCATCACACCGCATAACATCACACTCCATACCATCACACCGCATACCACCACACACCCCCTCACCTGCAGGTTGACGGTGCCGTTCTTATCCGTCAGAATCTTGGCCGTGGAGTAGTTCCCTGCCCTCAGGGCCTCCAGCAGTGGCGTGGTGCCAAAGTTGTCAAAGGCTGTCCACATCTGCATACCACCTCACCCAATACCATCACACCGCATACCACCACACACGCACGCACCTGCAGGTTCACAGTGCCGTGCTTGTCTGTCAGAATCTTAGCCGTTGAGTCGTTCCCAGCCCGCAGTGCCTCCAGCAGTGGCGTGGTGCCGAAGTTGTCGAGACTATTCACGTCCGCTCCTTCTAGCAGTAGGAATCGAACCACCTCATCGTAACCCCCTGCTGCTGCCAGGTGCTGGGGGGACAGGGGGGAAGTGATTGGGTGGGTGGCGGGAACGTGGGTGAACCTCAGATCACTGGCTGTGGTGCCAAAGTTGTCGAGGCTATTCACATCCGCGCCCTCTAGGAGCAGGAATCGAACCACTTCATCGTAACCCCCCGCTGCCGCCAGGTGCTGGGGAGATGGGGGGGATGGGAGGGGTGCGGGAGAGGTGGGGGAGATGGGGATATGAGGCGCCCCCAGCAGCAGCGTGGTGCCGAAGTTGTCAAGGCTGTTCACATCCGCACCCTCTAGGAGCAGGAATCGAACCACCTCATCGTAACCCCCCGCTGCTGTCAGGTGCTGGGGGGAGATGGGAGGGATGGGAGGGGAGACATAGGTAGGATGAAGACACAGGCTGTGTGGTGCCAAAGCTGTCCAGGCCGCAAGTATGAGACTTCCTTTGAGACGTCTCAAAAATGATCTTCATACATGAAGAGACAGGCTGTGTGGTGCCCAAGCTGTCCAGGCCGCAATGATGGTCATCATCGTGAGCTCCACTCTAGTTTTGAGCAGTGTTCTATGACAAGGCACAGGACCACAGGACCTTCATCCCCCCGCTACTACCACTGGACTTACCAGCGGGGTGCGTCCGTCGTAGTGTGCTTTTCCAGCATTAGCCCCGGCCTTGATCAGCTTCTTCAGATGCTCTATATCCCCCCGTGAGGCAGGATAGATGGTCGTCATCGTCAGGTCCGCCTCCTGCTGCACATCAGCAAGGTTGCTCTCACTCCTTCCCCCCCCACTACCGCGAGACTCACCAGTGGTGTGCGCCCATCATAATCCGCTTTGCTGGCATTCGCCCCGGCCTTGATCAGCTTCTTCAGATGCTCGATGTCCCCCCGCGAGGCCGCATAGATGGTCGTCATCGTGAGCTCCGCCTCCTGCTGCGCGATCAGAGACGTAATTTCCGAGGCCAGCAGTGCATACTTGCTGCCTGTCTCTGTTGTGCGCTGTGGGTCGAGAGGCAAAAAAAAAAAAGAACGGAATGGGATAAAATGGGCTGGGGTGGGTGGGAAGGGAAGTCAGTAGTGCGTATTTGCTGCCTATCTCCGTTGTGCGCTGGGGGATGGGAGGCAGGGCAGGGTGGTGGTGGTGGCTTCACACGCACGCACACACACACACACGCACGCACGCACGCACGCACACACACGCACACGCTCGCACGCACGCACACCTCCAACGAGTTGTCAACTATCCTCCCTCGTCCACCATGAACGTGGCAATGGCCGTGTTCCAATCGCCCCTCCCCTCCAGCAGAAGAAGCACACGCGTGGCAGCAAGAATACTCTACTCACTTATAAGCACCCACTCACCTCCAGCAAGTTGTCAACTATCTTCCTTCCATCCACCATGGATGTGTTGACAGCAGTGTTCAATCATCCCGCTCCAGCCGCAGCAGCTGGATGGAAGCAGGAGTATCCCACTCAAACGCAAATGCAGTCACCCACCCACTCACCTCTACCCACCCACTCACCTCTACCCACCCACTCACCTCTACCCACCCACTCACCTCTACCCACCCACTCACCTCCAGCAGGTTGTCTACAATCTTCCTTCCATCCACCATAAACGTGGCAATGGCCGTGTTCAAGTCGTCCCGCTCCAGCCGCAGCACCTGGGTGTTGGTGGCCACAAGTATTGGTGGGGCCCTATTAGCATGTTGTGAGAGGATCATGCCAATCATGCTTGTGGATAGAAACGAGTTTTAAACTGTGATGATACGAGCACACTAGAGCATTTAAACCCGAGGGCCAAGAATTTCAACCTTAGGAAGCTTGGTTTGAGTGAGCAACACAATTGGCCAAGATTTTGGGTGCGAGGGCCAAACTCAACCAAGGTTAGGAAGGTTGAGGCAGTTTGGGCCTTATTGGCCCTCCGGTTTTAATTACTTATTGAACGGACGCACCTGGCAGAACTCAATAACCGACACGTCGAAGGGCTGAGGAATGTTGCACAGCACTGCAACCTCGCCAAACATCTGAAGGGGGAGAAGGGGGCAGGTGGGTGAGAAAGGGATGGACTGAGCAACAGAGCTCGATGACTGAGACATCAAAGGGCTGGGTAATGCTGCAGAGAACTGCCACCTCGCCTAACATCTGCATCAAGAAAAGCGGGCAGGTAGGCAGGCAGGTGACTAGTATGTATGTAGGTAGGTTGAGCAACAGAATGGACCGTGACATGTTACCTCCTATAATCCTAAAGCGAGGAGAAAACACACACACACACACACACACACACACACACACACACACACACACACACACACACATACACACACACACCAAAGAGAAGACAGACTCACCGAGCCCGTGGCGAGCTCTGAGAAGTGGCTCCCGCCGTCAGTAGAGGAAGAAGGAGAGGTTTCTTCCACACTGCCCGAGCAGATGATGTAGAGGCGCTCGGGGGAGTCTCTGTGCTGAATCACCACCTCAGAGGGGAAGTAGTGCTCTGGGGTTACCTTGGTTACCTAGTTGGTGGGGTGGGGTGGGGTGGGGTGGGGTGGGGTGGGGTAGGGTGGGGTGGGGTGGGGTGGGGTGAAGTGGAGTGTGGTGTGGTGGAATTTCAAGAGAGAGTAATGTGTGGGTGGGGGATAAGAGCAGATGATGTGGAGGCGCTCGGGGGAGTCTCTCTGTTGAATTACGACTTCTGACGGGAAGTAGTGCTCTGGCGTTACCTTGGTCACCTGGTTGATGGGTGGGGTGGGGTTGGGTGGGGTGGGGTTGGGAGGTATGGGAATAACAGCAGATGATGTAGAGGCACTCCGGGGAGTCCCTGCGCTGAATGACCATCTCCGAAGGGAAGTAGTGCCCCGGCGTTACCATGGTCACCTGGTGTGTGGGCGAGTTGGGGTGGGGTGCGGTGGGGTGGGGTGCAAGGTTCGGGAATAAGAGCAGATGATGTAGAGGCGCTCGGGGGAGTCGCGGTGCTGAATCACCACCTCTGAAGGGGAAGTGGTGCTCTGGTGTCACACCTTGGTGAATATCATAATCACTATCACTATCACTATCACTACCATTACCATTACCATTACCATTATCATTACCAGTACCATTACCATTACCACTACCATTACCATTACCATTACCACTACCATTAACATTGCCATTATCATTACCATTATTGTTACCATGGCCATTACTATTACCACAACAACTACCATTACCATTATCTTTACCATTACCTATCATTACCATTACCATTATCATTACCACTACCATTACCATTACCATTACCATTACCATTACCATTATCACTACCATTACCATTAATATAACCACTAGCATTACCATTACCATTACCATTAACATTACCACTATCACTACCATTAACACTACCGTTACTACTACCATTACCATTATCATTACCATTATCATAACCATTACCACTACCACTACCGTTAGCACTACCACTACAGAATGTCGTTGAGAATGTTGCGAGACCAAGCCCATGCCTGCCTATAAAACCATCCCCACCGCAACCAACCACTAACAATCTGGTTGATAAACTCGGGCGAGCAGCCCTGGAAGATGTAGCTCTGCTCCACCAGTCGCCGGTACAAAGCCCGCGCCACCTTGTGGCGGATGCTGCTTTGCTCACAATGTGGCACGCTTGCTTAGCCCTTGCCTCGCCTGATGGCATCACCCCCACCGCACCCAACCACTCACAATCTGGTTAATAAATTCGGGCGAGCAGCCCTGGAAGATGTAGCTCTGCTCCACCAGCCGCCTGTAGAGAGCCCGCGCCACCTTGTGGCGGATGCTCACAGGGAAATCATTAAGAATGTTGTCCTCCACTTGATCCGTTTCAAACTGCAGTCGCACGTGCTGAAGAGGGAAATGTGAGGAGGGGTTACAAAGGCGAGAAGAGAGAGCATGAGCAGGGGGCAAGTCGTTGAGAATGTTGCCCTCCACCTGATCTGTTTCAAACTGCAGGCGCACGTGCTGCAGAGGGAAATGAGGGAAAACAAGGAGAGAAGCAAAAGGACAAGCAGGAGGAGGGAGGGAGGGCACAAGGATGGGAAGTCCTCCTCCACCTGGTCTGTCTTGAACTGCGACCGCGCATGCTGTGATGTGATTCAAGGAGATACGTGATAATCTAGCCGTCTGTTGCTCTTTACATGGCTCACCAATTCTTCACACCTGCCTCTGTTGTTTTCACCTGCCCTGTCTGTTGCTCTCACCTGGCGCATCTGGTGCCGCAGCACCCTGGGAATGCGGTTGCGGTTCATGTACTTGATGACCTGCGCCATGCGCTCCCTGTACTTGGTGGTGTTGCTGCCTTTTACCACCAGTGCAGTGATGTTACCTGCAAGAGGGATGGAATGAATGGAAGGTAAAGAGACCTGAGCAATGCTCTTCCTGCATTTGAGCACCCGGGGAATGCGGTTGCGGTTCATGTACTTGATGACCTGCGCCATGCGCTCCCTGTACTTGGTGGTGTTGCTGCCTTTTACCACCAGTGCAGTGATGTTACCTGCAAGAGGGATGGAATGAATGGAAGGTAAAGAGACCTGAGCAATGCTCTTCCTGCATTTGAGCACCCGGGGAATGCGGTTGCGGTTCATGTACTTGATGACCTGCGCCATGCGCTCCCTGTACTTGGTGGTGTTGCTGCCTTTTACCACCAGTGCAGTGATGTTACCTGCAAGAGGGATGGAATGAATGGAAGGTAAAGAGACCTGAGCAATGCTCTTCCTGCATTTGAGCACCCGGGGAATGCGGTTGCCGGTTCATGTACTTGATGACCTGCGCCATGCGCTCTCGGTACTTGGTGGTGTTGCTGCCTTCGACTACCAGTGCAGTGATGTTTCCTGGAAGGGAGGGAAGGAGAGTAGGGGAGGAGGGGACAAGAGAGAGAGGGTACTTGATGGCCTGAGCCATGCGCTCCCTGTACTTAGTAGTGTTACTGCCCTTTACCACCAGTGCAGTGATGTTTCCTGGAGGGAAAGGATGGCACAGACGGGAGGAGAGCGGATTCATGTACTTGATGACTTGAGCCATGCGCTCCCTGTACTTGGTTGTATTACTTCCCTTCACCACCAGAGCAGTGATGTTTCCTAGATACATTTGCACGGGTAAAGGGATTAGCAAGGGTACATGAGAAGGCGGAGAGGAAGGTACGAGACAATACAAAGGCTTTTTAAAGACCTGCACCATGCGCTCCCGGTACTTGGTAGTGTACAACCACCAGCAAGGTATTAAGATACTTCTGCATGACACACTCACCAATGAGGTAAGCCGAGAGGATGAGGTCGACTGTGATGTAGAACATGGCGAAGATCATCTCCCTGGGATTGACCGGGTGAATGTCCCCATAGCCGATCGTGGCCATGGTCACCACGGACCAGTAGAGGGCCGTCACGTATCTCGTGAATAGATCCACTTCGCGGAAGTTCTCGTAGGAGAAGTCGCCAAGGGTGAGGGAGAGGGAGGGAGAGGGAGCCAAGAGGAGCCCATCCATCGATGGTGCACAGCGCAGGCAGAGGGACTCACCGATGAGATAAGCTGAGAGAATCAGATTCACTGTGATGTAGAACATGGCGAAGATCATCTCCCTGGGGTTCACCGGGTGGATGTCCCCATACTCACCACCAGTGAGGCCCAAGATACTACTCAGCGACTCACTCACCAATGAGATATGCAGACAAGATGAGGTCGACTGTGATGTAGAACATGGCGAATATCATCTCCCTGGGATTGACTGGGTGGATATCCCCATAGCCGATGGTCGCCATGGTCACAACGGACCAGTAGAGCGCCGTCACGTATCTCGTGAATAACTCCACTTCGCGGAAATTCTCGTACGAGAAGTCGCCGAGGGTGAGGGAGCCGATCCAGGTGTAGCCCTGGTCTTCAGGCGGCATGGTGGTGGCGAGGTAGTAGAAGAAGCAGCCGGCCACATGTGTTATGTACATCTCCACTATGATGAGTTTGAGGAAGCGGACAGCGAAGTAGCTTAAACGGATGTCCCTCTGCAGCCTGGTGGAAGGGGTGCGGGTGTGTGTGGTGGGCAGGAAGGGGATGGTAAGACGGGAGACGGGAGGCAAGGAGGTTAGAAGAAGCAGCTTCGTTTGAGGCACAAAAGGCCCTGGCCTTCAGGCGGTATGGTGGCTGGTGGCGAGGTAGTAGAAGAAGCAGCCCGCCACATGTGTTATGTACATCTCCACTATGATCAGCTTCAGGAAACGCACTGCGAAGTAGCTTAAACGAATGTCATGCTGTAACCTGGAGGAGAGGTCGCAAGGGGATGAAAAAGGGCGGACGAAGACAGGGAGAGGGGGAGGGAGAGGAACAGGGAGAGGGGGAGGGAGAGTGGTAGGGGGAGTAGGAGAAAGTTGGGCGAAGGGGTAGAGGGAGCAGTAGGGGGAGAGGGTTGTAAGGCTCTCAAGTCAAGTGAGCAGATTCCAGGCACTTAGGGCTCACTGCTTAGAGCTCACTGATGCAATTAGGCCTCACTGAACCAGGAACAGGGTTACGGTTGTGATGAACTGAAGAATCTGGAAAATCACCTGAAGGCACCGTGCAGCTCACCTGTGGAAGTATCTGAACAGGTGCCGCATCCTGAGAACTCGAGTCCACAGCAGCCACTGCAGCAGGTTGGCTGCCCCACTGGCGCCGGCTAGCTGATGCACAGCACAATCGGGAAGAGGGGTGGCGAGCGAGGAAGAGGGGTGGCGAGCGAGGAAGAGGGGGCGAGCGAGGAAGAGGGGTGGCGAGCGAGGAAGAGAAGGGGAAAAACATTGAGTGCATAGAGGGCAGTGACCAAGTGGCACGGCACAACACTCGAGTCCACAGCAGCCACTGCAGCAGGTTGGCTGCCCCGCTAGCGCCTGCCAGCTAATTCACGACAAGCAGGGTGTGATGGAAAGGGGGAAATGAGGAGGAGGGGGGAAGAGCGGAAGAGGAAGAGGGTAACAATTGAGAGAAGACAGCGGGTAGAGAGAGGACAAAGGAGCATTTGTGTCAACAGCAGCAGGTTGGCTGCCCCACTGGCGCCGCCTAGCAGGTCCACAGCAGAGGGCGGTAGGTGGGGAGAATAGGGGAGAGAAGCCAGTGGTTGCACCCACCCTGGTTGCACCTACCCTGGTTGCACCCACCCTGGTTGCACCTACCCTGGTTGCACCTACCTGGTAGAAGGTGTTCCAGGGGAAGATGGCGAGGAGGTCCATGAGGAAGTAGGAGCAGAGATACCTGCAGCACAGGCGACGGGGGTGTGGTGGACCGGACCAGACAGATAGAGGGGAGGGTGACAGCAGTAAGCATAGGGAAAGCAGTGTAGGGGGAAGATCGCGAGGAGGTCCGTGAGGAAGTAGGAGCAGAGATACCTGCGGCCCGGCGATGCAAGGAGAGGAAAGAAAAGGAAAAGGGGAAAGCGGAGGAGGAAGAGAGAGAGGGAGTGAAGGGTCAAGGGGAAGCGTGAGAGAAGGTAGCAGCAGAATGTGTTACTATGACAGTGAGTGGCACCACCCCCTCTCCCTCCACTCTCTCCCCCACACTCTCCCCCACACTCTCCCCCACACTCTCCCTCAATCTCTCGCCCACTCTCTCCCACACTCTCCCCCATCACTCCCTCCCCTCAAATGCTCCCCGGAGTCTCTATACCCCACCGCTTGTTCCCCCGCCATTCACCTCTCTGCGATCTTCCAGTGGCTTGTAACGAGGGTGTAGGTGTGCTTGTCCTTGAATGCGACAAAGAATGTGAGCAGGAGATCGGCCAGGAAGCAGAAGTTGACTGCCACGTCAAGCCACGTCAGCCACACAGGCATGCTGTCCGCGAGAAAGGCGAATTCGAAGGGTGTGACTAAAGCGGAGTAGAAACCCAGGAGTAGAGTCACCTGCTCCCATAGTAACAGATAGCTGGATGGAGGAGGGCGGAGATAAGGAATGGGGAGGAGAGGGAGGAGGGAAACTATAAACTGCATGCATGTACCTGAAACTATAAACTGCGCTGTTGTATTGCATGTTACATTCAATGAAGGACCATTCGAGGAGGGAGGAGGGAGGAGGCGGGAGGGATGGATAAGGGAGGAGGAAGAGGGAGGTGGGAGGGAGAAGGGAGGAAGGAGGAGGTAGGAGGGAATAGGTAGTAGGAGAGAGGAGGAGGGAATAGGGAGGAGGGAAGAGGGAGGAGGGAAGGGGATGAGGGAGGAGGAGGAGGGAGGAGGAAGGAGGGACGAGGGAGGACGCACAGGAGGGAAGACAAGAAAACGAATAGCGAGAACCGATCAGATCAAATCAACTCACAGCAGAGAGGAAAAGGAAGGGAGGAGTCACAGGAGGAAAGGCAAGAAATGAAATGTAAAAACACACTGAGTCCTCCACCAGTCAGCAGCGACTCACGCGTCTTCGGGGTCGATTACGCGCAAAGAAGCGAGCTCCAGGTTTCGCGGCATGCAGATCCCGACCGTCGTGGACCGCTGCAGCATCGCGCGGTCCCTCCCCAATCCGCCGCGCATCGAGTCGCCCCCGCGCGCGCCGAGCCAGAACGAGGAACTGCCGTCCGTATCGACGCCCGACACGCCCGAGCTCGCGCCGCCGGGCCATCGCCCCGCGAAGGTGGAGGCGGAATCGTCGCCGCCGCGGTTGAACCGCCAGAAGGGCTGCCCGAGAATTGTCTCCGTAGCCCATCGTCTGATCTGAAACTCCGTAACGGGGGATAAATCGAGTGAGCATATTAACCCACGATTCGTGGCGGCCATGTGATAAGTGCTGAACCGCCAGAAGGGCTACCCGAGGAAGGTCTCCGTGGCCCATCGCCTGATCTGAATGGGAAAATTATTAATTTAGAACGAATGACGTAGAAACGTGAGGGCGGTCCCCAAATAAACGAATGGCGTATAAATGTCTCACTAAAACAAGGAAACGAAATGTCGACGTCAGGGCGGCGAGACGTTGACAGTGACTGACAGTCAATTTCCGGCGAAATCTGGACAACGGCCGTCTTTTTTAATTATTTTTACTATTATTTTTATTCCAAAAAAAATAGCCTACAAAAGAATGGCTCGCACCTGCTTGCCGACCGAAAGCTCGACTTCCTCGTTGTCGAACCGGCTGCTTTCCGGCAATTTAAACTCCGCGTCGCGATTTCGTCCTCGACCCATGACGGCTTTTTCTACCGGCTAAAGAGGTCCGTCGCCACTACTATAGAGCTATCGCGCAATTTAGCGTAAAGTTTGACTTAGAGGCCTCGACACCACGTTTTCAAGATCAATAGCTATACGACCTTCGCATAATCAGCGTTGACGCTTGAAACATCGCAATAAGCTTCTTCGCTATCATTTAAAGTCTGGGACACCTGAGGAGATTACGGTCACAATAGCTCTAGCAGATAAATCGTTGATAGGAATACGCAATCAAACTCGCGCGCATAGTATGCGCATAATTTAGTACGACATAACGCTGGAACCTGATAATCTGGAGAGTCGGCTCCCATACCTCGACGAAATATTGGCAATAAACCGTATTTTTTACGGCAAACGTGACGAAGCTAACAATAGGTGAAAAAAAACGCACAGCACGGGGAGACGGGTCTTTTTGCTGAACGTCTAGCGTGAGAATAAATCTTACGAACTCAAAACGGCGACAGAAGCAGCACTTCCACACAAGCAAAGGAGGCGGAGGGGAAAACGAAGCAAGAAGCAGAACAAACATGGAGGGTCAAAGGGAAGATGGAGACTAGGATAATCGATAATCTGAGCAGCATCGCTCTTAATACGTATTTCACCGCTTTGAAACGCAGACCGCCTTGTTGAGCCCCACGCGCTCCCACATCATCCTTCACCATGATCCATGTTGCGGCGCTAGCTTCTTCGCGCCGTGAACAAGGACGCGGAATTGGAAGAGCTGCGTATGTTGCCACTGGATCGTAAAAAAGGTTTGCTGTGCAAAAAAAGCATTCGGGAGCTGGACCACGTGGGCAGTGATGTGGGGTGAGATGCCTTGCTGGTGAAACATTCCTTCCTGCCCCTGATCCAAAAAACGTCGCGGCGCGCCATTTCGTCACATGCCTGTGGCATCTGTGCGCCTTTATCCTTGCGTGTGCTGTCGCTTCTGGCGGCTCCCCCAAGGTCATCTGATGGCCTGTTTGTTTATTGGTAAATAAAATGCGAATCAGGCCTAGCTGGCATTCACTGATTGGCCTTAAATGCGAGCGGGGGAAAAGTTGACGAAAGCCTCCGTGCGTGCACAACACAGACCACTGAAAAAGGCATCCGTTTAGAGGGAAAAAGGGGAAAAGATGCCGCGAAATGAAAAAGAAAGAAGGGATTAATTACACAAATGTTGAATCCTAAGAAGCTTTATGATGCTCCACCTTTCATTTTTGTGTACGTGCCACAGACTTACACTACTATATGGCTGGAGGGGGGGCAACGCTCGGTATGTCAAGTCGGTACAGTCGAAGTGCATTGTTGTGCAAAATTCCACATGCGGCTTGGATCGCCTCTGGAAAAGTTAGGTCACCTCCTTGCACAATTGATTCAAGAGCAAGAGAGAGTATGCGCCTTCCCCACAAAGCACCTGATAATAAAGAAACATAAGGACGTTAGGCATAGTACACCATATTACACATAACAATGAAAACATGCTCGTAAAAAACGGCAGCTTACCCAAATAGTAAGGCTCAGCAAATCCCACAGCATCTGTGCTCATCATGACCTGGAATTTCGGGAGGTAAGAGCAAGTGTCATGTAATGATGGGGATATGTAAGTGGCAAACAGAATCGCTTGCAGCCATTACGGTACATCCTTCCCCACAATAGCAGAGAAGGGGGTCCTTTTAAGCAAGGCAAGATTAAACAGTCCAGGATTCACAAGCTTTACAGAAGGGAGAGAGGTCAAGCAAGGTCAACGCAAATCAAGGATGGGTTTGAGGGAGACAAGACAATGAGCACAGACCTTGTTGAGAGGGGCGAGG